AGTTTGAGACATGAGAACATAATTTTTTTTTGATTCTATTCAAACATGGTTTTAGGACACCACATGTACCCCACAGTTGGTTTTTGCTTTGTTATATAGTTGTAGATTGTATAACACAAAATTGAATAAGAGGCTAAGAGCTATTAGTCACAGAGAGTGTCTCATAACAGATAAGCCCAACCTTTTTTCTGAAGGTTCAGTTCTCTCTTACCATCCCTACTTATCTATTCACACTGCATGCACTTCCTTTTTATTTTATCTGTGACTTTTGTTGTTGTTGGTGTTGATAAAATCTTAATATTTTCCATATGACTTGAAAATTAAAATGCGGTTTGGAAGACTCTGATCTAATCTATGTTGTGCTTTACAACGAAAAATCTCATGCACCCAAATAAAAAAAATCATATTTTTCCCGGTTTTCTGATTAATTGACTCATCACATATTTTCTTTTGATCTATGCTGCTTGAAGATGTGAGATTGTTAAATCAAATTAAACATAGTTTTTTTTTTGTTATGGACATTATCTATATGGCGTTATTTGATTCACCTATCTGATTCCATCTGGTGGGAAAAGCCTTGTTGTTGTTTGTTATTGTTTGATTCATGACAGATCCATAGAATCATGTCATATTTATACATTCAAACAGTTCAACCATAATTTTAAAATGAAATCTAGCATGTTCTAAATACATGATGAACTTTAACATTTTACAACTCCCTATTCCCCTACACTTTTGTTTATAATGACATGTTTGAGAAAAATAATGTAAAGTATGATTGATAGAAGAAATGAATTTCTAAATCTTAAAATTCAAATGCATAATTTGTTAACTTAAGACTCTAGATGATAAATTTGCAAGAAGTTTAAAGTTGAAGCTGGTAATCTACAACTTGACATTTTTAATATGCAATTTCCTTACAAGAAACTAAGCATCTACTTATCTTGATTCCAAATCCTTGCAAGTTGAAACTACTTTTTTATTTTGCTGTCATTTTCTAAGGTTTAATTGTTTCAACAGATTATATATGATGAAAACATTTTCTGGAAATTCTACATATGTAAGCATGGGGTTAATGAGTGAAAATAATTTTCTTATGTGATACTTTTCATCTGAAATAGAACTTTTGAAGTACTTTGGGATGTTTATACTTTCCATGCATTTTTGCCTGCTAACTGCATATTGTTATTTAAGTGTAAACTAATTACCCTTCAAAACTTATATTTCTCTAGTTCTTTGTCAAGATGGCATCGGTTCACGCTAACGTGGCATCGATTGTATGCAAGAATGGTAACAATGGTTGTCAATCAAAGTTCCCGAGTACCGCATTCTTGCCTGGGTTTGATGTTGTCGGGAGGGTTTCAAGTGCATGGAAGAAGGAACTTACCCCATCTTACATGGCTTTGGGACCTAAATCTACATTAACATTTGATCCTCCTGCTACCAATTCAGACAAAACCAAACAGAAGAAAAGTACTGTTGACCCTGCTTCTCCTGATTTTCTGCCTCTTCCTTCCTTTGAACAATGCTTTCCAAAGAGCACAAAAGAACACAGGTGTGCTTTGCTTTCTTGTTCTGGTTACTTTATATGATTAATGCATTGTATTTAAATCAGTATGGTGTTCCAAGTCTTTCTTTTCTAACATTATTCAGATCAGTATGCACTTCTCAGATATCTCACTCCAGTTACAATATTATGTTTACAGGGAAGTCATTCATGAAGAAACCGGTCATGTGCTAAAAGTTCCCTTTCGACGAGTTCACCTGAGTGGAGATGAACCACAGTTTGATACCTATGACACAAGTGGTCCTCAAAATATAAGTCCCAGAATTGGTATGCAGATCAATCTTATTTCTCCATACCCCTTTTTAGCTTGAGTCCTTAGTCCTCACTACATTCTTTGTGTAACTAATATTGGGTTAATATGGGATTTCTTTTTCAGTTGAATCAATCAACTGTATTTCAATGTTGTAAGATACTTTATTATTGTCCCGTCCTGCCTTTGTTTATAATCATGTTATCCACTTGACATTCTCTGGGCTGTTAGTGCATGGTATAATCTTAAATGTTGTTGCCATTGGTGTTTCAATCTGTCTTATGAGAATGCCCTGAACCAGCTCCAAGCTATAGAATTCAACTTTTTCTGTTATTCTTACTTTTCAAACCCTTTATTGTTGATATAATGTTAGAAGCAAAAGTTAAATCATATTAGCCAGTTTATGTATTTCTGTTAGTTACAGGAAAAAACAGAACACAGGTGATGGGATAAGATTACTAATATCATTGAAGAATCTCGTATTGATTGTTTATTTGTTCTTATCCCAAAACTTAGGAAAATACATTCACTTACCTGGGTTTTTTATGCATTTGATATTCAGGACTCCCGAAATTGCGCAAAGACTGGATTGACAGGCGAGAGAAAATAGGTGCACCAAGATTCACTCAGATGTACTATGCTAAGCAGGGAATCATTACCGAGGAGATGCTTTACTGTGCCACTCGCGAGAATCTCAGCCCTGAGTTTGTGAGGTCAGAAGTTGCTCGTGGACGGGCTATCATCCCTTCCAACAAGAACCACTTGGAGCTAGAGCCCATGATAGTTGGAAGAAACTTCTTGGTGAAAGTAAATGCGAACATTGGAAATTCTGCAGTTGCAAGCTCTATAGAAGAGGAAGTTTACAAGGTTCAGTGGGCAACTATGTGGGGAGCTGATACAGTCATGGATCTCTCAACTGGTCTTCATATCCATGAAACTCGAGAGTGGATCCTACGCAACTCTCCCGTACCAGTTGGGACTGTACCTATTTATCAAGCACTTGAAAAGGTTAATGGGATTGCTGAAAATCTTACCTGGGAGGTCTTCAGGGATACCCTGATTGAACAAGCTGAACAAGGTGTTGATTACTTCACTATCCATGCAGGAGTTCTTCTGAGATATATTCCATTAACAGCGAAGCGCATGACTGGTATAGTCTCTAGAGGAGGATCTATTCATGCAAAATGGTGCTTAGCTTATCACAAGGAGAACTTTGCTTATGAGCATTGGGATGACATACTTGATATCTGTAATCAGTATGATGTAGCCTTATCGATAGGTGACGGGCTACGACCTGGATCGATTTATGATGCCAATGACACAGCTCAGTTTGCTGAGCTCTTGACACAGGGAGAACTGACCAGAAGAGCATGGGAAAAGGATGTTCAGGTGATAAATTCATCAAACTTTTTTTATAGCATGGTGTTGATAAATTTATGGCAGGATTGAAGTGTGGTGATAAAATCATCAGACATTTTGATTTTAACATCACGATGTCTCTAAATCTATCAAGTGCATTTATATTCTCATTCTTGATTGTTTAGCATGGATAGTTTGGAACTCACATAGGGGCAATTCTAGTCAGATCATTCACTTGGGTAGGAATAGACTATTTATCCACTGCATGAGACTTGATCTATGTTGATTTCACCATAGCTATGATGATCGGTGCTTAGTGAAATTCCTAGTTGCTTTCTTCACAAGCTAAACATAGTTTGCTATGATTTACATAGAATTTAAAATACAATGATTCTGTTGATTTCATATCATATTAAACTACCATGACCTGATGTGATGTTACAAAGAACAATATTTTCCTGAGAAAATGAGTTATTTTGTTTACTTGGACTCCTTTTACAGGTGATGAATGAAGGACCTGGACATATCCCAATGCACAAGATTCCTGAAAACATGCAAAAACAACTAGAATGGTGCAATGAAGCACCATTCTACACTCTTGGTCCTTTAACAACTGATATTGCTCCTGGTTATGATCACATCACCTCTGCAATTGGCGCTGCCAATATTGGGGCACTGGGTACTGCTCTTCTCTGTTATGTGACTCCGAAAGAACACCTTGGACTGCCGAACCGGGATGATGTGAAGGCTGGAGTTATAGCTTACAAGATAGCTGCTCATGCTGCTGATTTAGCCAAGTGTCACCCACTTGCTCAAGCCTGGGATGATGCACTAAGCAAGGCAAGATTTGAATTTCGATGGATGGACCAATTTGCTTTGTCATTGGATCCAATGACAGCGATGTCCTTCCATGATGAAACATTGCCTTCAGAAGGTGCTAAGGTGGCCCATTTCTGCTCTATGTGTGGCCCTAAGTTCTGCTCTATGAAGATAACCGAGGATGTGCGCAAGTATGCAGAAAAACATGGCTATGGTGATGCTGAGGAAGCCTTAAAACAAGGAATGGAGGCTATGAGTGCTGAATTTCGAGCTGCCAAGAAAACTGTCAGTGGTGAACAGCATGGTGAAGCTGGTGGAGAGATTTACTTGCCAACAACTTACTTAAGCTCCAAAGAGAGGTGAAGTTAAACATGTTGAATTTTTTAATTATCTAAGATGCATCTTTCCATTTGACATGCATGATAGGCTTGGTTGGTAAAGCTATGAGACATAAATTGTGAGCACCTGGGTTCAAACTTTGCCTATAAAAAAAAAAAATACTATTTTGGATACTTAAGCACCTACCAGATTATCTCCATATAATATGCCACATTATTCCATAAACAATGGTCCTCTCTTAACATGGAGCACCATCACATACAGTATAGTCCTCTGATTTCTTTAAGCTATAAACTTATACTAGAATATCAAGTGATCAACTACAGACACTATGTCTCATTATTGCATGAAAAAGATTGGAAACAAATTTTTATATGCTGTCTCCCTGTCAATACTGATTTATCTTACAAAAACATCTCTTGCAGTATCATATAAATGAAGAGAATCATCTGAGACAACTTGGAGCTAGCTACACAACTGGCTTATCAGGATAGTGAATCAATTTCAAGCTAGGGGAGAATACAAATTTGAGTTTGTTGACAACTTATTAGAACTTCAATCTTTATCAAACTTCTCTGGTGTTCTCCAATTGTCAGGAATAAATTGCTCTGGTTTTATATTTAAGACCTTCTTTATCTATTCTTTTGAGGCATTTTATTAACTCCAAATGCACCAGGGGTGCCTCTATCTGCATGAGCTCCTATGATTAAGTTAGGATGCTAGCAGATTAGGCTGAGACAGTCCCTTTGAACCTGAACAGGGTGATGCCTGCGTAGGGAGTGTGCAATTTTCTTTCTGTATGCTTTTGCAGGGAGTGTAAATTATATACATGGATTGAGCTTGGATAGTTCATGGGAAGCAGATTCAGCAAGATGGCCATGCCAATTGCTTTGGTTGAAAAAGTAGCTGCACAAGATGACAAGAAGCTCCTACTACCAGATAATAAAGTAATGCAACATAAATTCTTTCCAAAGAAAAAACAACATTAAGTACACCAATCTCACATACTAATGTCTATTATGAAAAACCAAGTTTTCACTAATAAAACTACTCACCATATTAATTTGGCATGTCAGAATATATGAACATGGCATCTATAATTTTTCTCGTGCAACAAGAGTATCTTCACAAAATAGATTATTTGGAAATGTAGACAATATGGAAGTATTGTTACTATTAGTTTGAATACCTTCCATCATGTTTAAGGAAATCTATCAGGGTTATTTTACTGCAAATCTAATTTGGTTATGACCAAAAAATCTCACATTTCAATCCAACAATAGATTCATAGATGCATGGGAAACAAAAGGCTAATCTTTTACCTGGGTCATTATGTATTCTACTTGAAGTTTTCATATTAGGAAGTGAGTGAAGATGTTCAAATAAGATTATATAATATTTTCATTACTTCTCTATATGGGTGAAATTTTGCACTCTCTGAAGATTCATAAAATCTCAGCAGATGAAGGATTGCTTCATTGAAGTTGTCTGGCACAGATTGTTTTATGTTATTACGGTTGTCAGCTGTCGCGCCCCGATTTTTGGCTACGTCACCAGTACTAGCTTGTTAAAGTACATATTATTAACTAAACTTTTGTTTTGTATGTCAATAAGCACCAGTGTGTAGTTGGTGTAAGCAAAATGAGTACCAATATCATTCTTGAATAGAAAGAAGACTTTATAAACAGACTTGTTCCCCCTATAGTTCCACTGCCAACTAAGGGTGCTGCAAATAATTTTACTGGATATTTATGAGGCAATAATACTAGGTTTTTTAATGATGCAGTTTCACAAAACTAATAGATGGATTTCACATATCTTTATAGTTTGAATGCATTGATACAAAAATTGTGAATTTTAGTTGAGAATTTTAAGTTTTATTTGAAAAACTTATCCATTGGTACAAAATGAAACAAATATATGACCAATTGAAAACAACAAATATTGCACTAAGACATGGACCATGGAAATTCAATAGTGTAAGAGTTTTACATCATCATACAAATGAATATTGAATAATATATTGACTATATATAGATTGTTATACCGTCACTACTCACTACATAAATATTACACTCATATTTTACTAGTTCTTTCATTCAACCGCCAATGAACCATATGATTAATTTTATATGTGATTTTTCTCTAACATATTTATGTTAGAGAAAATATCACTTCATTATGTCCATTAAGTTTCACATAAATTTGTATGGAGCCTTTAAAAAAAGCAAGAAAATATTACCTGATTATGTTCATTAATTGTGACAATTTTTTTTATCAAGCCACACAAATGTTGTCGTGTGAAGTTGAACATAGGGACTAGCTTAATTCATACCAACTATTTTTGAATTTTATCTTTGTTAATGACTAAAATTGTCCACAAAATATTTTAGAAGCCATTTTGATTTCTATATTTTAATTTTTTACATAGAAAGCATATAAGTTTGAGAAAATGAGTTAGCCGTTAACCTCTTTAACCCACTATCTTTTTAAAACAAAATAGAGAAAGTGAGATGCCTCATTCTTTAAAACTGTAAAAGCAAGAGTGCAATAATATTTGATTACTTAAATGTGTTTTTCATAATAAATTTAGAATTTAATATCTATCAAATACATTTTTTCTAATAAATTAATAATAAACTTATAAAAAATGTATATACCAGTTTTACCCTGTGGCGCGAAACAAATCAGAGACTCCATGTTTTTTGAACAGTTCCACACACTATAATTCGAGTTCTTCAATTCTAGCATCAAACCAAAGCTCTCTTATCGAGTGAATCCCGTTTTCTTCGATCATGCCTTGCATCGCCGTCAATTCAAATCCTCAGAAGCGCAAATTAAGATCTCATGTCGTGGCTTCGGAGGCTTCAATCCCTTCCCCGTGCAAACGGAAACTTCCGCGGCGGTGCAACAATGCGAGCCTCCTTACTTCTCCTACTGTAAGTGATGTTAAAATATATAGTGTTTTTCTATTTTAGATCAATAATGTGAAGTTTTCTTTCTCTCATTTTTCTCTTTCTTTAAGCTTTTCATTTCTTATTCTTCTTGATTTATCAAGAAGATTCATGGCTCATATCAAACTTTAACAAGTGATAAAAATAAACTCGATTCTAGAATATTCTTTTTCATTAGTCGACATCAACTGAGAGAGCATTTTTTTTTATTTCTCTTTGCTTGACTTTCAGCAGGAAAACGACGTCATTTCGATTCCTTGTGGTCATAAACAAGCTGAGTCGGATAATGTTGCTGCCAAATTGGAACGGGATTACAAAGGTGAGTTAACTTTGTTTTTGATTGGGTTTTATGTACTCGAAATAGGGAAAAATATGGATAGAGAATTTTTTTAACAAATGTATAGAGTTCACTTTGTTCTTGATTGGGTTTCTGAATATAAAATTAAAAGGATAGAGTGAGGAAAAAAAGCAACAAAAAATAGAGAAAGGTATAGGTACATCTAGGAAAAAAACCCTGTGTGGTGAACATCAAAAGAAAAATGAGAGAAATGATGAGAAAATTGATTTATTCACAGGAAAGCAATGTTGTTTCATTTCGCACTGGAAATGTTGCTGCCAAACTGAAATGGAATGCTATAGGTGGATGAGGAAATATGGGAAAATTCATGGATAGTGAAAAAATTAAACAAATGGATAGATTTTATGAAAAGAAAAAAAGTGAGGGAAAATAAGCAAAAAGAAAGGAGTGCGGCATTGCTGTGAGATGAACATAAAAAAGAGTTAAGTTTGAGAGAGAATAGATGAGAAAAACCTGTAGTTTTTTAAATTATAGAAGCTTTGTAAAAGCAACTATCCAAAATTTACCTAACGTGAATTTATTTTGTTTGAGGAATAGATGATGAGCAATTGAGGGCGGTGAAGGAGAAGTTGCATGTGTCTACTGAACCTTCTAGAATTGCATGCCGTGAGGATGAGAAGAATATGGTGTTGGAGTTTTGCGAGGCATGTGTTGAGCAAGAGAAGGCTGGGAGCTTGTACATTTGTGGATGTCCTGGAACCGGAAAATCATTAACTATGGAGAGAGTGAAAGGGCTCTTACTCAATTGGGCTACAGAGGTGTGTACACAAATGTATGGGTTTATACTTCTTATTGACATCTTTGATGAGATATCGTGGTTTTAGAATTCAGTCTTTACGAGTCATTGCAATTGATTTTGTAATGATTTTACAGCTGTACTTGTATAGGTTGTTACATGGATGCCTGCTTTCAGCCCGAATTCCAATTATTGCATTTATTTGTTTCTTATTTAATGGCTCTGATATGAGAGCTCAATAGAGATTATTGGAAGTACTATATAACATTATTGAAGCAATTACATATGTATATCATTTTGACAACCACATTTATTTATACTTCTGCATGCACATGTTGCATATATGTTGAAAATTCTTGCCCTTGATTGTTATGTTGGTGTTTCGTTTACAGTTTACATCTCTCAAATGGTGGTTTGGTGGGGGTGAACTAAGTTTGACTTTACCTTATGTTTGGTAAAATCGCTTTTCTGTTATTTGTGATTGCGTTTTGATATCTAAGCCATGGCTTGAGTAGAAGTCCAAATATTTTTTTCTTCCTTTTTTGTTCATCCAAACTTGTTTTTATCAACTTAAAACTAACCATACTAATATGTAAATCTATCATTACTATACCCCTCATATAAGTCCCCTTAAATCTAATCATGATGGAACCAATGTGTGCGCTTTGCTGCTTATGTATTTATACAATTGATGAAGAAAACAGACAAATTCATAGCTTTAACTTCAAGTGCTCTTTCTAAAATGTAATGTTATTTTTGTTCCACGAACTAACACAACTGCCTGTGTGATTTTCAGGCAGGTTTTGTGCAGCCAGATGTTTTATCTGTAAACTGTACTTCATTTGTCAACACATCTGACATTTTCACCAAGGTGGGGATATTAAAGCACCTTTTAGCTATTCCAACAATGCTCTTTTACTGATAAGTAGTTGTTCTCAGATACTTGAGTTTAACCAGTCAGTTGGAAAAAAGCTTTCAGCAACACCCTTAAAACAACTCCAGAACATGTATTCTCAGAAGTCATCTAGAAAGAACATGATGTAAGAAACATATCCTCACCTCGAATAGTGGTAAATATGAACATATTGTGTGCTCTCTTTTATGTATTGAATCAGACTGCTGCTTGTTTATGTAATTTGGATTATATTAATGATTTGATTTGTCTCCATTGTGACAGGTTGATACTTGCTGATGAATTAGATTATCTAATAACCAAAGACCGCGCTGTGCTCCATGATCTTTTCATGCTCACCACCTTACCATTTTCCAGATTTATATTAATAGGTAAAATCCTCAGGAGTAAAATTGTATCTTTTGGATTGTCACACATTCCTGACTATCCAATAGTTATTCAATAGTTATTGTACCTTTTTTATACAGGGGTAGCAAATGCGATTGACCTAGCTGATCGTTTTCTTCCAAGGCTTGCATCATTAAACTGTGAGTACATCCTGTCTGTTTGTATACTCTATACCAAAAGAATGTTCATCCTGCTTTTAAGTTGTGGACTGTGTTTCAATGACCTCATTAATGAAGCTAGCCTTTTTCTACTTGTATACACCATTCAACATTTTTTTGTTTTCCCTTTCTATGATATAATTTCTACCCTATGTCCTGTTCCAGGCAAACCTTTTGTTGTAACTTTTCGGGCATACTCTAAAGATCAGATCCTTAGGATTCTACAAGAAAGACTAAGTGTAAGATCAATGTGATTGAACTTGTTTGAATTATATGGTTGTATGACTGTCC